TCCCCCTACAGGGAGATTTTCGACGAAAAATAAGAAAATACCCTCCAAATGCACCAACAATATGCAACAATTGCCAAAAATAGTCCCCAGACTATTCTTTAAAAGTATTTTTGAATCCCACCAGCCCTCTGGGCGTCGGTGGTTTAACGAGTTTCCTCTTCCACCCCTCCCTCTTCCCCTTCGGGGAGGGGTTTACCCCTCCCCCTACCCCCTCCCCACTGACCTGGACAGGGGGTTCCGCGGTGCGTTGGAGCGCCCAAGATCGACCCCTGGGAGGGCTAAAATTCGACACCCCTCACGAGGATCGTGGCTCCTGAGGGGGGGACTGTAATTAGGGAACCCCCCTTCGTTGATCGATCTCCTCCAAGATGGCTCCGAGGCCCCCCAAGAGGCCCCCAGGAGGCCCCCAAGAGACCCCCAAGAGGCCCCAAGAGACCCCCCAGAGGCACCCAAGAAGCGCCCAGGAGGCCCCAAGAAGCGCCCAGGAGGCCCCCAAAGGCCCCAAGATGGCCCCAAGAGGCCCCAAGAGGCCTCCAGGAGGCCCCAAAGAGGATCCCGAACGGCCAACAGAGGCCCCCCCGAGGCACCCAAGACGCCGAAAAGCCCCTCAGGACGACCCTCTACTCGCCTGGGCGTCGTTTCTGGACGGGCTGGTGGGGATACGCGAAGCGTCTAGAATTTCCCCCCCCGTAGAGGGACGGGCCCGACTTAACCCTGGCCCCCTTGTGCGCGTGGCCGAAGCTTTGCGCAGCGAGCTGGGCGGGGGCCGACCCGCGCGCAGGCCCGCCCACTCGGCCATGCCGCTCACAGGCAGCGCCGCTCCGCCCTGGTCGCCCCAGGCGGGCAGCTCAGGCGCCCTGCCGGGGGGGGGGCGGCGGCGGACCCGCGGACCCCAGAGATCCTGGCGTCGCCATTCTTCGCCACTGGCGCTTGCGCCCAGTGTTAGGTCGGGCCTGTCCCCCATACAAGGGGGATGTTGGGCGACGAATTAGCAACACGGAAGAAATGTTCCCAAATGGTCGAAAGATGCTACAAAAATCATCCCCAGAACATTTTCTTGACTATTTTTGAAATTGTCCTCCCGTAGAAGGACAGGCCCGACGTAAGCCCCGTGGCGGGCGCTGGGGTCCTCGACCCTTCGCCAGAGAGCGACCCTCGGTGCTTGCAGGGAGAAGCTCGCCATCGCTCGGACGTCCATTCCCTGTGTTTTTTTTTCGGTTTCGTGCGTGGCTTTTTCGCCAAATGATCAAGGATGCTCCTCGATGGCCCTCGCCGAAGGAAAAGTGCACACGTCCGAGCGATGCCAGGGAAGAGAGAGGTGCAGTCGGGGCTTATTGGCGAAGGCACCGCGGGAGGGCACACGACCCTTCCGGGGGCCACACTGCCACAGGAATGTGAGAGGGCATGGGCCGCGAAGCTCAGGGCACGAGGGTATCCTCAATTTGGCAGGGCCGGCCTACTAATCATCAGTCTCGACGGTATACCGCTACCCTTCGCCGAGTTTCCCCTTCGTGGGCCTCCTGGGCGGCCCTCGTCGCCACCGCTGGATCCGCATCGAGATCCTGGCCAGAACGCACCCTGGGAGATGTCCAGGGAGGTGCCGATCGATCCACTCGAAGTGGGACGCAGGCAGATGGGGTCCGGGGCACCGTTTTCTTTGTTGCTGTTATTGTCGTTGGTGTTGTTGTTGTTGTTGTTGTTGTTGTTGTTGTTGTTGTTTGGTTGGTTGGTTGGTTGGTTGGTTGGTTGGTTGGTTGTTTGTTTTTGTTTGTTTGTGCGTTTCTTTGTTTGTTTGTTTCTTTGTTTGTGTGTTTGTTGTTGTTGTTGTTGTTGTTGTTGTTGTTGTTGTTTTTGTTGCTGTTGCTGTTGCTGTTGTTGTTGTTGTTGTTGCTGTTGTTGTTGTTGAACATTATTACTTCTAAAGAATAATTATTGTTGGGGCCCCTGGTGCACGACCCCCCCGCCGCGCCTAGGCCGCAGCCTCATTTTCATCATTTTCGTGAGGAAGTCTCAGGCAAAACGGGGGAGTCCGGATCCGGTTGTGTTGTTACGATCGGTTTTCCCTTGCAAAAAATAAGCTAAAGTGGACATTTCTTGTTCTAACATAGCCAAACTTCAAGAATCCCTTGCAAAAAATAAGGTAAAGTGGACATTCGCGCGCGCAAGACGAAATCCTTCCAAAACCTTAGTTTTCGTAGCGATTTTAACATAAAAACATCAAAAAAACCAATGGTTTTTCAAAAAAAATGTCAAAATTTCATCCCGCGCGCTCTTGCGGATTCGTAGGAAACCCAACACTTTTTTTAAACATTTCTGTCAAACGGGCTTTTGCGAGCAACTTTTTCGAACTTCTGCAACAACGGTTGCGCACCTGCCAGGGCCATCATCCCTGTCAAATAATACCATGCGGGACACATTCGTTTTTTTCTTCGCGCGCGCACGCCGTCGTCGTCGGCCGCGGGGCCCTGAATAGTAGCCACGGTCGTCCGCATGCCACGAAGTGAAGTGTCCGAACGTCATAAGGCGGGAAGCTGGGTGTGGGTGGTGGCGAAGAGTCGTTTTGGAAATTTGGTAGAGCTTGAACCGGCCCCCCCACAAAGTGGGGGTATTGCCCGCCTCCTATGAAAACCCTGGCACTGGTGAGAACGGAGTGTCCCCACGTGCTAGTAATTGGTGTTGTTGTTGTTGTTGTTGGTTTTTGATGTTGTTTATTATCTTGACAGCTGTGCTTCTAGGAGCTCGGAATCTGTGTATTTTCGTCGTGGTTCGTCGTGGTTCGTCCCCCTCGGCCCCTCCCCTGAGCCTGAGCCCCAGCTCCCCTGGGCCAACCACCCGTCGGAGGCTTGCTCCGTCCAGGCTTCCCAGGGCAGCCCCCCTGGGCCGCGGACATCCTTATTTTCGTCGTGGTTCGTGGTTCGTCGTGGTTTGTCCCCCTCGGCCCCTTCTCTGAGCCTAAGCCCCAGCTCCCCTGGGCCACCCCCACTTGGGACCACCCCTCCGTCCAGGCTTCCCAGGGCAGCCCCCCTGGGCCGCGGAACCCTTCATTTTCGTCGTGGTTCGTGGCTCGTGGTGGTTCGTCCCCCTCGGCCCCTCCCTTGAGCCTGCGCCCCAGCTCCCCTGGGCCACCCACCCCCCCCACCCTGGGACCTCCCCCCCCTGTGGGCCGCGGAACCTTAATTTTCGTCGGGTTCGTGCGTGGTTCGTCCCCGGCCCCCCCCCCCTGAAGCCTAAGCCCCAGCTTCCCCGGGCCACCCTTTCGGACCTCCTCAGTCGAAGCTTCCCAGCTCCCCTAGGCCAACCCCCCTTGGGACCCCCCCCCCCTCCGTCCAGGCGGATTCCCAGGGCCACGCAGCCCCCCTGGGCCGCGGAACCCTTTATTTTCGTCGTGGCTGGAGGTGGTTCGTCCCCCTCGGCCCCCCCTGAGCCTGAGCCCCAGCTCACCTGGGCCACCCACCATTGGGATCCCCCCTCCGTCCAGGCTTCCCAGGGCAGCCCCCTGGGCCGCGGAACCCTTTATTTTCGTCGTGGCTCGTCCCCCTCGGCCCCCTCCCTGAGCCTGAGCCCCAGCTCCCCTGAGCCACCCACCCTTGGGAGCCTTCCTCCGTCCAGGCTTCCCAAGGCAGCCCCCCTGGGCCGCGGAACCCTTTGCTTTCGTCGTGGTTCGTGGCTCGTGGTGGTTCCTCCCCCTCGACCCCCCCCCCCCCCCCCGTGAGCCTGAGCCCCAGCTCCCCTGAGCCACCCACCCCTGGAAGCCTTCCTCCGTGCAGCCTTCCTCCGTCCAGGCCTCCCAGTCCTTCGCAGCTCCTTCTGTGCAAGCGCCAGGGCACGCGTGCCACTTGTTTTTTTTGTTTGCGGTGTTGCCACTTCGCGACGTCGGAGCTCTCTGGGAGCGACGGGTGGACGAGGACCCGCGGGCGGACGGACGGACGGAGATCCGCCAGAGGGCCCGCGGCGAGACCCTGCGAGCGGAGTGTGAATGCAGTCCGTCCCTGCCAGCGCGGTCTGGCATGGCGGGGACTTCCTCGGCCTCTTCCCCGCGCTCCTTCTTCTCAGCCTTCCGACTCGAAGAGGAGATCGAAGGCCCGCAGGCGCTTTGAAGTTGATCGGGAACGGAGCTGAAGTGTGGCCCCCAGGTTCGCCTGGACCCAAGGAACAAAACCGAAGGGAAAACGCGAGGAGCCCCGAATCAGATTTGGAACCGAGCGCAGGCCTGCGTTGCTAGAGCGAAATTCAATCATGGGGGGGACAGGCTCAGGGTTAGGTTGCTGCTCCCATCGTGCTCAAGGACCACATCCCAGAACTAATTTCGAGCACCCAGAAAAGTATCGAAACAGTGTCGAACGAGTCTCACCTCCCAGAGCCCGACGTGAAAACAATCCAATTTCGGTACATTTTTTGGTGCTCGAAATTATTTCTGGTGATCGAGGCTGAAACTAATTGGAAGATCATAAACTAAGGAGGGTAACCATGGAACCAGAAACGCCGATACAGCGCCGATGCATCGGCCACGTGCCCCCGATAGCGAATCGCCATGTTCCTGGGCGGGGTAGGCTATCGGGCCTCACCGATGGTCGGGGGCGCGCAAACATGGATTAGCGATCCATGGATTTGGCGCGCGGTCGCCAAATCCATGGATCGGGGGCGGTACCCTCCCTCAACATGCAGCTGGTGCCGCCTCGTTCGGCGGCGGGAATCCGCGATTTCCCATGGAAACGGGACCCGATACTGATCCACGCCCCCTTGAGCCATGTTTGCGATCACCTGAGATGGGCGATTGAGGCTTACATTGGGGGCCAGACCGCAAGAAACCTTCCACAAGACACCCAACCCTGAGACCCCAGGACGTCCATTGATTTTTGGTGCGGGGACGCCGCGCTCTCCATCGTAAATCCAGCGGCACCCAAGAAATCCAGGGCACTCTGGAGGCACGCAAGGTGTTTTTTTGGCATGGGTCCCCACTGTAATGCCTCCCCCGAGTTGACCAGGGACCGACCGTCCGGGCATTCCTATAGGCCTACCACGACATGTTCTCACAACCCAGACCTGCTCTCATCACACAAGCAGTACTCCTAGAATATCAATCCGAGGTGCTAAAACAGCACGGTCCCAGCCAGAACTGTTCTAGGAACACGTCGTGCAGAGCACGACGAGGTGCTTATAGGGGAACAACAAGTGACATAAACATAAAAACTCGGAGGTCCGCGCGGATTTCTCGGATCGGCGCTGGAGCCCCCTCCCGGGCGCGCGGAGCGCCAGGGGCGGCGCCGGAGGCGCCGCCGGGGGGCCCCAGCGCCGATCCGAGAAATCTGCGCGGACCTCCGAGTTTTTATGCTCATGCCACGCCCGCTCGCTCTCCTCCTGTTCCCCTAGCTTAGAGCGCTCGCGAGCCAGGACGCTTCGCTGCTGCTCGCCTGCGCCCACCTGTTCGGCATCGCGACGCTCCGAGACGGCCCAAGAGGCCCCCAAGACCGCGCTAAGAGGACCGGGAGGCCTCCGACAGGGCCCCGCGAGCCGGCCCCAAGAGGGCCTCGGCGCTGAGGAGCCCAGGAGGCGCCCAAAGGCCCCTTTCGAGCCCCAGGAGGCCCCCCAACAAGGCCCTGAGGAGCGCCCAGGAGGCCCCCCAAAAGGCCCTCGAGATGGCCCCCAGCCGCCCCACGAGGCCTTCAAGAGCTGCCCGCTGCAGGCCGCCCGCGGGCCCGCGGGGCGCGGAGGCCTGCCGAGGCTCTCCCGCGGGCGTGCCCCCGGCGGCGCGTCCTTTCGCGGGCTCTCCGCGCGGGGGCTCGCGAGGATCCTCTGGCCCGAGGCACGCGCACGGCCCAGGGCGTGGCGGGCGACCTGGGGGTCCTCCTCCCCCTCCTCCTCCTCCACTTCCTCCTCCTCCTCCTCCTCCTCCTCCTCCTCCTCCACCTCCAGGCCCGCCATCCCGAGCTCTCCAGGGTTGCATCCACAGAGAGGGCTCGACATGTGCCCCAACACCTCGGTTCTCGACCTCTGGAGCCTCTCCGACTCTGCTCGCGTCGGGATGCGCGGAAATACAATAAGGGCCCTTCCGCAAGAGACCTTCGACAAGAGACCTTCCGCAAGAAACCCAACCCTGAGACCCCAGGCCGTCCATCGATTTTCGGTGCGGGAGCGCCGCGCTCTCCATCGCAGAACCAGCAAACCCCAGGAAACCCCGAGCACCCTGGAGGCAAGCAGGGTGTTTCTTGGCATGGGCCCCCGCTGTACGCACGGCCCCGGCCATGACGTCCACCCCTCTAGTCGCCACCCATTCTCGGCCACCCCCGACTTGTGGCGCCTAGGCCTAGAATAAGGGGGCCTCCTAGACGGGGTCCGAGCAGATGGGGTCGCAGGATCGCGCCGCATCGCCGATGCATCAGCGATACATCGCGGATGCATCGGCGATGCATTGGCGATGCATCGGCGACGTCGGCGATGCATCGGCGTGGAGAAAATCGGGCCTCCCTCGACCCGCATCGCTGATGCATCGCCGATGCGGCGCGTTCCTCCGACCCCATCTGCTCCGACCCCATCTGGGAGGCCTACTCCGAGCTCCTAGATACGCGTCGGGGGGGCGTCACCCTCCCGCCGGCAGCCCCACATCGACCCCCGTCGCGGGCAGCCCACCGCGCGCCAAAGGCGCTCCCACCCCCGTCGCGGCGCGACGACGAGGCGAGGCTGACCCCCGTCGGGGGGGCACCCCCCCGACGCTCATGAAGAACATCCGAGCACGCAGACAGAAGCGCACTGCGGGTTCTCGCCGGCATGTGGTGGCGGTGCCCGCGAGCCACGGGTGTCAAGGGGACCAAGGACACACGAATGCATACACACACAAATATAACAGGATCCCCCATAGTTTCTCCTATCTTCTGGGCTTTTCTGTCTTCCCCCCCCCCCCCCTTCCCGTATTTTCCTATATTTCCTGGGGGATCGACGATTCATTGTGTCTGTGTGTTTTTCGGGAGCGGCCAAGAGGGGGGTGTCCAAGAGGGGGGGGGGGGTGCAAAGCATGACCGGCGGCATGTGCGCGGCCCAGCGGGGGGGCCAGGAACGAAATGAAGCAAGAGGAGGCGCCATGAGATCTGGGGAAATATCATGGCCCACGCCATGATATCCACCACCCCCTAGTCATCACCCCCTAACACACACACACACAAATGCATACACACAGATCACAGGATCCCCCACATTTTCTGATCTCTTCTGGGCTTTTCTGCCTCCCCCGCCCCCACTTCCCATACTTTCCTATAGCTCCTGGGGGCTCGACGATTCACCGTGTCTGTGTGTTTGAAGGGGCCCCAGGACACACAAATAAATACACACAAATAAAAATATTCCTATATTTTCCCATATTTTCTAGGTTTTCGTCTTCCCCCCCACTTCCCATATTTTCCCATCTTTTCCTGGGAGTCGACGATTCATTGTGTCTGTGTGTTTCTTTCCCTCCTGAGTGTTTTTCTTCCCTCCTGGGGGCGCCCCCCCCCCCCCCGGGGGCTCTCACCGCCGGGCGGCGCCCGCCGTGCGCGGCGGGGCGGCGCCCGGTGCGCGGGCCTCGGGGCGGGGGGCCCCTTTTCGCGCGGCTCGGAGTCCTGCACGCCGCCCCCCCCCCCCTCCTTCCCCTCCTTGCCCCCTCCCTTCCCCCTCCCTTCCCCCTCTCCACTCCTCCTTCCCTCCACGCCCTCGCCACTCCCCCTCCCCTTCCCCCTCCACTCCTTCTCTTCCCGTCCCCCTCCATCCTGCGGCCCCCCATCCCTTCCTCCTTCCTTTCCTCCTGCGGCCCCCCATCCCCCTCCGTCCTGCGGCCTCTCCTTCCTGCCTTCCTTTCCTCCTGCGGCCCCCCATCCCCCTCCTCCCCCCTCCACGCCCTCTCGTCCTCGAGCAGCTTGGGATGAGGATGAGACTTTACTGGGGGAACGAGCACTGACATAAACAGAAAACTCGGAGGTCCGCGCGGATTTCTCGGATCCACGCTGGACCCCCTGGCGGCGCCTCCGGCGCGCTCCGCGCGCCAGGGAGGGGTGTCCAGCGCCGATCCGAGAAATCCGCGCGGAAGACCGAGATTCTATGTTTATGTCATTGTTCGTTCCCCGATTTACCGCCACCGCATCCTGATTCTAGATCGCTCGCGCTCAACTGCCATCGGGGCCGTCCAAGCGGGGGTCCAGGTGACAAGGGGCGGTGCCAAACAATTAGCTGGCACTTACATGTGCGACGGGCCCGTGCGAAAATGATTGCGCACTTCCATTGTTCGGACTATTCGTTGCAACGCATGCCTACACACGGCCTCGAGACATGCAACGAATTAGGGCATACGGCAGACAGGCGTGTCGGACTGTGTTCGAAGACCTCGGGCTGCGTTGCACTGCTGCGCTGGTCGATCGTAGCGTGACCGACCAGAATCGACCTGATCGGGGGTGGGGTGCCCAAGGGCGTTCTTCGATTCCGATGGTAGAATCGTAGACTCCCTCGCAACGAACTGGTGGGCTTTGACACCTCGAACTCGCACGAAACATCAAACACCTTGCAATCCCAATTCTGGGTTCTAACTATTCGTGACAACCACGTCATGCGAACGCATCATCGTACTGAGTCGTATCCAATCTCCGAAAACACCAAACCCTTCTATATGGACCCCCTTCTGGGTTGCCTAGATGCCACCCTCCTCCTCCTCCTCCTCCTCCTCCTCCTCCTCCTCCTCCTCCTCCTCCTCCTCTTTCTCCCCCTGTAACCTTGTAGCCGCCCGAATCTGCGTACTACCCCCCTCCTGCCGGCGCCCTCCTGCCGGCGCCCTCGTCCTCTTCGCCCCCTCCGCAGCAGCCGCCTCCCCCTCCTGCCCCCGAGCCCAGACGCCGGGGCCCCACGGCCCCTGGACCTCGGCTTTGGAGGAGGAGGAGGAGAAGGAGGAGGAGGAGGAGGAGGAAGAGGAGGAGGAAGAGGAGGAGGAGGAGGAGGAGGAGGAGGGGGGGAGGGGGGGGGAGGAGGAGGCGGAAGGAGAAGAGCAGGAGCCCCAGATCTTTCTAGGGTCGAGGCCTACGGGCGAGGACCCTGGGAGGACCCTGTGGGCAAGGACAGCATCTGGTCTGCGATGGTTTGCATGCAGCACTGCTCTGGAGGAGGAGGAGGAGGAGGAGGAGGAGGAGGAGGAGGAGGAGGAGGAGGAGGGGGAGGGGCACTATGAACCATGCCGAGGACGATTGATACGGGTAGTGAGGCGGATGTTGTTGTTGATGATGATGATGATGATGAGGAGGAGGAGGATGAATTGAGGATGGTAAGCGTGTGGTGATGATGCTGGTGCGGCTACTGATGATGACTGTGATGACTATGGCGATGGTAAGGGTGATGACGGCCATGATGAGGATGACGATCATGATGTCGTTGATGATGGTCAACATGACGAGGAACAGGGATAGGGCAAAGGTTATGCTGATCATGAGAGGGGCATGATAGTGATGATTAGGCTGATGGTGCCCACAAGGCAACCATCATGGCTACCATAATGACGATGCTGATGAGGAGGACGCCCCCAGTCTCCTGTGCCCCCCCATGTGACCTGGAGGAGAAGAATGGGTGAGGATCATGAGGAGTATGAGGATGAGGAAGAGGAGAAAGATCATGAAGACGGGGAGCATGATGATGCTGCTGATGCTGGTGCTGATGCTGGTGATGACCATCCTCCCCTCTCATGATCACCCAGCTCATTCTTATCATCCTTGTTACTCCGATGATGATGGCGGTGTGGTGATGACGATGACAACGAGGAAGATGCTGATGCTGATGCTGATGATGAAGGGAATACAGAGGATGATGCGCTACGACCACGTGGGCGAATGTCCCATTAGGAAGAACGGGTGGCGGGACCGTATAAGGGGAGAAGCCGGCGGAGGGCCTTATGGGCGAGAACTCCATGGGCGAGGAGCCTTATGGCCCAGGACCTGATGGGTGCCCCGCTGCGAGTAGCCTGTGAAGTTTGAGTCTTGGATGCCAGATGCCCGTGAACCCACTCGGTGCCAGAGAGCGTGGGCAGACTCTCCTAGCGCCGCGCGCACTCGTCTCAGAAGTTTGCATCAACTTCACGGATGACGGGTTGCTCCTTGTCAACATGTGGCTCTAGCCTCAGCGCCGCGCAACTTCGCCCTAAACGTTCACAACTGTTCCAGAAGTCGTAGGGTGGAAATCCCAGAAATGTTCTGGGAAGACATAGGCTTGTCAGGACGCAACAGTCATATTGAATCGCAGCGCTGAACCCCCTTATCTTTGTGTTTTGTCACGCCTTTCGAACCTTTCGCCATGAACATCATTCTTCGAGGGACCTCTGAAGAGGAAACTTGGACGGGGGGTGGATTGCAACGTCGTTGATGCTTCTTGGGCTTACACTGCTCCTCCTCCTCCTCCTCCGAGAAACACAAGGTGTCGCGCGCCCCGGTCAGGTAGTACGCCGCAATGCCGACGAACGGAGCGGCAAACGTCCAGAGGACCCATGGCTGGTCGATGGTCCCGTCCTTCTGGGGCGGCCAGTCCTGGTAGCAGGACGTGACCTCCCTCGCCCGCTGGCCAGATCCAGCGAAGCTGGGCACCACGCAGGGGAGAAGAGGGAGGAGGGGGAGGAGGGGGAGGAGGGGGAGGATGAGGAGGAGCAGGAGGAGGAGGAGGAAGAAGGGAGGAGTGGCGGCCGTCAAAGCGATTGAGAGCCACCACTCAGGAGCCAGTTTGAAGAATTTTAAAAATTGGGTCCAGGCCTCGCTCAAGCGAGGAGCCGGTGCAGTCCACAGGCACACAAAATGCGGGGAAACTCTAGAAACGACACTCCCCGTGGAGCTTGACGTGGTTGGAACACCCATAGTAGACCCGATTGCTGCAGTCAAGCAGAAGGCAGATTTCTGGATGGGCTCCTAGGGCAAGGGCAAGACACCTCCTCAAAAGCAGCCGTGGTGGCAAGACTTTCAGCGAGCAGCTCGAGCCCACAGCTACGGCTTACATCCTATCACGACAGAAGAGATCCAGCAAAGCTGTATTCGGGCATGGACAGCCCCCCTTTAGAAAAACATGGTTTAATGAAACGACCTCATGCCCAAACCTGGCGGGCGCAAGCTTGAAGAATCACGGCCGCAGCGCCCTCTCGAGAACCGAAATCGGACAATTCACTAATCATCGTGTCAGGGTGAGGTTTCTGTCCACTCCCGATGTACATGTTTTAATAGACTAGTCACAGACATGGGGGTAGACAACGCTGACACGCGTTGGTGGTTGCAGCTGCCCACAGAAGCGTTAGTTCACTTAGCTTTTTTTGCGCGATATGATAGAGCGCGCGCTGCGACGGCCAGATCAGCTCCTTGTTAGTACAGTTGATGTTCAAGTCTGAGCATGCAGATCGGCCGATAACCCTCATACAGGCGCTGTATAGGTGCTGGTCGAGAGCCAGGCGGTGCAATGTAGCAGACTGGTCGACAGAACAAATGCAGTTCTGGAACAAGGCTGGTCGCGGGGTCCAGTTCGCTCAGGGTCCTTCGTCAAACGAAGTTGGAGATCGCCAGCCTGCAGCATTTTTCTTGTGACCTGGACACATTCTATGACACCATCGACTCAGAACAGCTGTGGCACGTAGGAGCGAGAGTCGCCTATCCTCTCACCCATCTCTTGCTCGGCCTCAACCTCCACTTCGGGCCGCGGAGGTGTCAGGCGGGAGGGATGGTATCGGAGGCTCTGGAGGCTGTCTTGGGGATCCTCGCAGGATGCTCCCAGAGCGTAGACATGTCCAGGCTCACTTTGTGGCAGATGCTAAGTGATGTGCGCGAACATCTCAGGCCAGTGGAAGTCCATAGCTGGGTAGACGATTGCAGCCAGTTTGCAGTGGGCAAGGAGTCTGTGGTATGGACAAAACTGTTGTTGCCATCAGGCCTCTGCCAAGCACTGTCAGGTTTAAGTTTGCGGATTTCGAGCAAAAGCCTGATCGTCAGTGACCCGCCCAGGATAGCAGATGAGATCCAGCGTAGGCTAGGCAACTCTATTCAGCTCAAGCGCTCTCAATTATCAAGGAACTTGGCATAGACGGCACACCACATCGTAGGAATGTTAAGACAACAAAGAAACGCATGCAAGATAGCAGTAGTACGGGTGCTCTAATGAATAGAAACATGACAAAAACACCAAGGCCGCAAAATCCTTGGTGAAAACCGGTATCATCCCACAGAACGCCTGGGGAGTAGAGGCCCGAGGAGTGGCCCCATCCACGCTGCTTCGCATGAGAGCTCAGATTGCGGGCATACTGGACCGTAAGGAAGGAGGTTGCGAGACGACCACAAACCGAATGTCCTTCCCAACGGTCCTCCAGGACCCTATGGTTTTTGGCAGGCTGCGTCTTTTCAATGAGTGGATCGGCCTCCGACCATGTTACTCAGCACTCACAGGCAGGCCTTGGCTTTAGCATGGAAGAACGCAGTCTCTAGCTTGCAGAGTGCCAAGAATCGTTGGGGCAAGGTCAAGGGGGTTCTGTCGGCAAAGTACAGTAGCCGGACTCATTGACCTAGGCTGGAAGCCTATCTGCCCCAGTGTGTGGCAAGACCCAGACGAACTACAGTTCGATCTGGGGCACACTGACCCACAACTGTTGATGATGTGCTGTATGTAGCCCTGGATCAGCCAGCCGGGCAGCTCGCGACAACACGTTTCAAACGCAAAAGTTTGCAGCACGGCCCCGATTTCACAGTCAACCGGCAGAGAATGTGAATCTGACTCTGCAGTCTTAACCATGCTACTGCCAGGAGCCCCGTGGCCTGCCAGTCGACGATTTGATATGGAGGCAACTCGGTCCCCTCCACCCCCATCGGGCCATGCCGCCGCCGCTGCACAGGCGCCGCATCCTCCAGCCGAGGAGTCTCTGGCTGCCGCACGGTAAGGACGGCGGTCTGGATGAGGAGGCAGAAGAGGATTTGCTGTCTTTGTGGACATGGCTCGGCAAGCCCGGGAGGAGGATCAAGACCCCTGGGATTATGATCGGGGACCTCCCTCCAGGAGGGATATCCCTGGGGGAATACAAATACTCAAAAAGATATCGTCGGAGCCCTTGTTGCAAAAAAAGAAAAGATGTAGCGGGGAGATCGCTCCCCCCAAAAAAGTTGCCGCTCATGGGATGAACCGCCAGACCATTTTCCTAGAGGGGCAGGAAATTGAGAGGGCCGCGGAGAGGTCAGCTCGCCGTGCTGGCCCGCTTGGACCTCACCGAGTTGCCCTCGCCGTGGAGCCCCCCTGGCGACCCCCCTTCTCCACCAGATTTGGGAGTGCCCTGGAGGGCCCGGAGGAGGCACCCTGCCTCTGGCGGCAAAGCTCCGCGAGGCCGGCCTCGACGCTCGCCCGCGGCCCACCCCCGAGCCGCCCGGGGCACCGCGTGCCGCCACGAGCGGCCGCAGCGCCGCTTCCGAGGCAGCGCGAGCACGTCTCCGAGCAGCACGTCTCGCCGCGGAGGCGCCGAGGGAGTCCGCCTCACTGGTCCTCAAATCAACGGGCCGCCACATCGGCGGGCAGCCCCCCCGTAGTCATCCGTTTCCCTGGCACGTGCCAGAACGGCCACGGATCGAAGAGCGAGGGGGGGGGACCATGGGGAGGATGATTGAGGGGAGGGGCGCGGTGAGAAGCCGGGAGCGAGGGGGCTTAGTAATAATCATTGGCGCACACGGCACGCGCGCGTTAGGTGTGTAACAATTACCTTTTCTCTTGCCTACGGCGGCTTATGACATGTTACCGCGTGTTGGGGCTTGAATGAGGGGGGCGGAGAAGGGAGAGCCGTAAGGAAGGGAGAAGGGTTGGGAGGAGTGGGGGGGACAGCCAGAGGAACCAGAGATGAGGTTGATGAGATGGAATGCGTGATCGCCACACAGATCTGAAAGAGGCGACCGAACACGCATTCACTCTTTGTGTGTGTGTGTGTGTGCATGTGCGTGTGTGCGTGTGTGTTCGTGTGTTCGTGTGTGTGTGTGTGTGTGTGTGTGTGTGTGTGTGTGCGCGTGTTTGTGAATGTGTGTGTGTGTGTGTGTGTGTGTTTGGGTGTGTGGTGGGGGAGGGCGCAAGGCATTGCCGGGTATCATCAATATTACTATGCGTATTCGTAGCACGAACGCTACCATTACTGAATTCACAAAATAACACGTTACAACAAATCCTATCATAACTGGATTGCCTCGAATGCGTGTGTGTGTGTGTGTGTGAATTTTGCCATGTACCGTGCGCACATGGGAAACTTGAAACAAACTATAAGGAGAACAGCAAGAACGCAGTAGCCGGCCGAACTCAACTTGTGTGTCTGCCGTGGCCCGCGTGCCCGAAGAGGGGCGGCAGCGCCCGCCACGCCACTGAAGCAGAGGCCTCCCAGACGGGGTCGGAGTAGATAGGGTCGGAGGATTGCGCCGCATCGCCGATGCATCGGCGATGCATCAGCGATGCATCGCCGATACATCGGCGACGTCAGCGATGCATCCTGCGACGTCGGCGTGAAGGACATCGGGCCCCTCATCGAGCCGCCTCGCCGATGCATCGGCGATGCGGCGCGATCCGCCGACCCCATCTAATTTCGGGAGCGGCCCAGAAGGGGGTGTTCAAGAGGGGGGGGGCAAATTAATCATGACCGGCGGCATGTGCGCGGCCCAGCGGGGGGGCCAAGGACGTAATGAAATAAGCAGAGGCGCCGTGAAATCTGGGGGAATATCGTGGCCCCCGCCATGATATCCCCCCCCCCCCCCTTAGTCATAACCCCCGTCTTTGCCGCCCCCGCTAATCACTCGGGGCCCAGCCAGGAGGCCCCGACGAAGCCAACGTGGCCTCCCCGGGGGCCCCGCCGAGCTCTCCCCCGGAGGAGGCGCCCCATGGAGCCCGGGCCTCGCGCGGGGCGGGACGACACGGCGGCGCGCCCTGGCGGGGGAAGGCAAGGAGCCGGGGCGACGACGACGACGGCGGCGACGGCGACGGCGACGGCGGCGGCGACGACGACGGCGAGGAGGAGGAGGAGGAGGAGGAGGGGGAGGAGGAGGAGGAGGAGGAGGAGGGGGAGGAGGGGGAATGGAATGGAAGGGAATGCCCTATGGGGGAGTGCACAGCACTAAATAATCGCAGCTAACATACATGGGATACGAATCGGGGATGAGGGAGTTAAAAAGAGGGAAACCCTCTAAATACTCCCGAAGCTATCCCCTGGACCGAGCATCTCGGGTGCTCTCCTTCACTCGAATTCGCTCGACCAAAGCATTCATTCTTTGCTCATAGGAGGGGGCCGTCTCTGTGGCCGAAAAACTCGTACGGACATTCGTGTCAGAGGTGTCATGGGGCTCGGGCGGGTCGCGGCGCAGCCGAGAAACAGGGAGAGCCTTATCAAGCAAGGCCGAGACGCGACGATTCGGGCACCGCCCTTGCCTCACCATGGAGATCACCTCTAGACCTTTACGAGTGGGGGCAACACAGGGACGGCCTAATTTCTCAAGCTTTGCTTGAGACCACCCTCCACATTTCAAACAAACTATGGTTTGCTCTCGAACTTGACACACCGAGGCGC